TATTACCTCATTAGACCATTTAGGCAGAAATTCACTTTTTGAAAACAGTCCAGAAATGAGAACAAGGCTCATAAAGAAAATGAACAAAAAAGCATTAAAAGATCTAAAAGGAAAAGAACTTTGAAAATTTATTTCTTAAAAAATTAAAAATTTATTTTGCAATTAAGTACTGAAGAAACACAAACAGGAGCACAGCAGAAATATGAAAATAAAAATATAATACATAAGTAAAATAAATCTACTTTAACCAAAAATGTTTGCAGTTTCTCTTCTTTTTTTTTAAATATTAATTTTTTGAAAATTTGGGACACTATAAATTTCTAAGTTAACAATATATATATATATATATATATATATATATTATTTGATTAGGACAATCTTGCATATACATTGAATAAACTAATATTTTTAGCATATTAAACATTTTTGGCAAAATAACCTTTTCTTTAATTTTAATCATTCAATGATTTTGTCAACATTTCTATACTTTTCAACATTGACATTTCTCAGAGATTGCCTTTGCTTGAGTAATTTTAAAATAACATTTTCATTGAGCAAATTAAAACATTATAAATATTCTGCAATAACAGCATAAAGAAAATGACAGATGAGACATTATGCAAAACTGAGAAAACAGCCACCAAATTCTGATATTATAAGAAATCTTAAAGGACAGCAATCTAAAGAAAAACATGGAAAAATCTGACAAATGGTTATCAAACCTAAAAGAGAATTTTTTTTTTTTTTAAGGCAATATTGAATCAATGCAATTGTTTTATTATAATTTCATCTTTTCATTCATATTATGTGATACAGAAGTGAATGAAAAAACAAATGTCATGAAAATAAATATGGCAAATCAATATCATCAAAACTGAATCATATAGAACCAAACTTGAATAAATGAAAGACTTTCAACTGCATAAATACACCATATATATATATATATATATTAATCATTCCACTCTAAGAAAGAAATTTTGATAAAGTCACTATTTGACACAATCCAGTTACCAAGAAGTGGAGATAATCTGAAACGCATGACCAGATTTTCATGACAAAATATCCAATTTTTGGATGAAAGACTTATAATGATTAAAATATAGATCCTGGCAGGAATAACCCAAATCCATGACATTTTGAATCAACTTTTCCAGCAGTAGATTAACATCAGCAATTGAAGATAGAAAGAAAATGAAACACTGCAACTGACTGAAAGATATTTTAATTTTAATTCAGATATTGATACAAAGCATCTTTTTTTTTTTTTGTTTTGTAGAAGGTACTAATTGGCCAATAAAAAATCAGATGGTTTGTTTGCTTTTGAAAAATAAAATATTTGGTTTTAAAGCAGGAAAAAATAATTCCAGTAAGTTATTTATTGTATTATTTCTATCAAGGAGCAATAAATAGGGCACATTTCTTTCTGGACTATTGCAGGGATGCCATCAACAGAACAAATTTTGTGGGGATTCATTTAGAGATGATAGCAAAAAGTATGAATTTTTATATGCATAATAAGAAATAGAGACTTAGTTCTCAGTGGAAAGTCATGAAAAAATAATCTAGATGAGTCAAAAAGTAGAATTGAAGAAACTTTACAAACAAAGCATTCTGAATTATCAAAGTTAACATGAAGATGATAATATTAAATTCTATCAAGAACCTGAGGATGGAAATATCACCCTTTCACAGGCACAATAAAGGCATAAGTTTAACATCTTTCTTTTGCATGTTTACTAGTGTATTTTCTCTCTTGTTATTCAATGATATAAAAACAAAAATATAAAATATCACCTTGTTGAAATTTCATTACACCTATACATGTGTAATTATTGTTTATTAGTCTAACTAGAAGCGGTACTGTAACATTATTAGAAAAAGTTTGAGGTAAACCTATCTACTCTTATATAAGTTTTTTTTTTAATTAAAAAACCGGTTCATGTCAACTTTTCAGGGGATTTTTATATAAACGTTTTTTTATATAAATGACTATTTTTTTATATTATGTTTACATTTCTTTTTACTGTTAGGGAGACACACATGCTGATATTCATTCACATATCCATCAATCCATTCAAGAGAATACTTCCAATACACAACAGACTAATGTATGTTCATGCTCCCATGTGCACTCATAAACACATCATTTCTAATGCAATTGTTTTTCTATTGAATATTTTTCATTGTACATTTTTTGTGCATTTTTTAATTATATTTTTGTATTTTCATAATTATTACATTTCATTGTTCTTATATATATATATATATATATATATATATATAAAAGAACAATGTAATAATTATGAAAATACAAAAATATAATAATTAAAAAAAAATATATATATATATATATATATATATATATATATATATATATATATATATGATTCCAACATCTATATATACCAAAATTAAAGTTAGATATTTGTTAAAATTTATGAAAATTATATTATGTTGATATTTAAGTTACAGAGTAGAGTAGTTAAAATGTCTACATTTACTGATTAATTCATTTCGTTTGTTTAATAATTTGATTTGATTGTTAAAATTTATTATATATAATTTTTCTTCTTGGCATAATTAACATATTTTATTTTTAATATTATTTGGGAGGCACATTTTTATTATTTCCCATTTGATTTTGTAATTATGTTACTTTTTAGTCCATATATATTTATATATATTATATTGTTGGTTAAGCATCTATTATCAAATGGACAGTTTTTTTTTTATTTTGACAATTACAATTGTTGTTAATATTCTGACTTGTATTATTATAATTATTATTTATGTTTAATATTTTTATTATGTTTATTTATATTATTTTCTTTAATATTCATACAACTGTAATCTGATTTTTATTATATTCTTATTAATGATTTTTGATAGTTTACTATTTTTAGTTAAGTATTTATCAATTAATTTAAAGAATAATTTTCCTGTTTTTGTTTTTATTGTATTGTTATATGTTATTGCATTGTTATTGTTTCTTTTATTTTTATCCACTTTTTCTTTATGCCAATTCATATATTTTTTTATTTTCATTAAATATTTTTGTATTGCTAGAATTAGTAGCAATTCTTTTATTAATAGATATTGATATATGTTTGAATACACAAGGTGGGTTATTTGAGTTTTTATTTATATATAGGGTTATTATTTGTTTTTTATATGGTTTGTATGTATTGTTATTTAGATTAAATGTAATATCTAGAAAATTTACTATTTTTAAGTTAGATTTTATGTCTATTATATATCCTAATTTTTTTAATATTTCTATTATTTGTTTTTCTGCCATTGCAATTTCTTAAAATTATGAGCCCATCATGTCTATATATGCCTATATCTTTTCTATTCATTATATCTGTATAATGTATATTTCTATTATTTCACATACCCCCACTATCTCTCTCTCCATATATATATATATATATATATATAAAGAGAGAGAAAGAGAGAGAGACATATAAAACCTTTTCAGGAATTATGTCCCATTGTATTCATACTAAAAAATCCTTTTGAGTTCATTTGAAGTGGAATTAAAAAAAAAAACGTATATTTCATTTAATCCTGCACCGATACATTTCCAATGTGCTTGATACACCTTCTGCTATACTTCATGTCATAAGCTTATACATTTATTTTTTTAAAAAAGTAGTATTCATAAATTTTTATTTTTAAAAAATAAAGCATTGGAAAATCAATTGACTGAAATTGGTTGAAGATATTGAAAGGTTGAAACCAAGGTAGTGGAATCAGCTGATTTCCTAATTATTCTTCCTTTCTTTCTCTCTCTCTATATATATATATATATATATATATATATATATATATATATATATATAATACCAATTTGTAATTGGCAGGGATTATTCCAAGGTGGACTTTAATCCAATGAGAGTTCAATGGAAGTTACAGAGCAATATATAATGATAAATTAAGAAAACACCTTAAAAATCCATATCGGTTATAATTTCTTTCATGAATATTGTTATATTCATCTCTTCAGACTGAATATTTTTTAAAAATATTAAAAAAATTAAAAATAATGAAAGGGATCAGATCCCTCATCTTGCAAGTGATAGGTGTCACCAGACCATCACCTAGCAACTCAGACAAAAAATACTTTTTGCAGACATAGAATTTCATAATACTAAATCAATGTGGCCACTAGAGAATATAAAGCAGGGAATGAATAGGTCAACTGAGTGTCAGACACCTCTTTTACTGTAGTCAAAGTTGCAACTTTTATTTTTAAGAATGGTGATCACAAAAAGCTTTTGTGGAATTTTAAATTTATTTTCTTTATATTTAATTGAAACAATATATTCTTAGAGATGATTAGAATTCAAAATATCAACATATATGAATCCAAGATAATGTTGAAATTAATACAAATATCTTTTGACTATTATTAATCATGATGAATTAGTATTATTTGTGAGATAGAAAAACATTTATAAAAATTTCTTGATGATGATAGACTTATAGCATGTTGGTAAAAATAGAATATTGATTAAAATAAAAAAGTATTGTCAATAGAAATGTATTGTCAAAGAAAAAAATAGTGTAAGAAATTCTTGAATAATAAGAAATGGGAGAAACGTTTTTTATATGAGAAAAGAAACAAAAACTGAATCTAATAAAGAAGTAGAAAAGGAAAGAAAAATAGAGATTAATAAGGCATGATTAAAGGAAAAAAGGGAAAGTGGAAACTGACATAAAAGACAAGTAAAAGGCAAAAAAAATTAAGGAAAACCTAATGCATAGAAATAGAAAATATAATGGATTCTAGAAAAAAATGAAAAGAAAGAAATGAAAGAAAAATAAACTAAATTAACAAATGAATAAAAAAATGTTTTATGAAAAGTGTTTAACAAAAAGTAAAAAATAACAATGGAAAAATGAAAATAATGAAAAAAAGGTTGAAAAGTTAAAGAAAAGCTAAGAGAAAACGTAGGTCCGATTTCTTAAAAGTGAAAAATATATTTTATTACCTCTTTTTTTATCTTGATGAGATCTAACATCCCAGAATACCTCAACTGAGACAGGACATCAGAAACCTGATAATTATTAGGCACTTTTTTGGAGTTAGGCTTTAAGCATCTCACATACCTGTACAAGAACAAAATTCCAGAAATAAATACAAAAATAACAAAAAAGAATCAATAATATTCTTCCAAAATAATCATTACACATCAGTAAAAATGTAAGCACAATTTTTATAACTTATTTTTTTTTAAATAAAATAAAAATGGTAAGAAAATAAACAAAAGGTTAAAATATGAAATTACATTAAATTACAGATTTTGTTTTAAGCATATTATTACCTTTTGTAAAAATCTTTAATTAAAATTGATTTTATTTCATTAGTTTTCCCATATTTTAGAGGTATGGAGACCAGAGATGGAAAATGTTTTTGAGTTATACTTTTGCATTTATTAATTTTATCTGTTCAATCTGGTTCATTGAAGTTAAGAAATGAGGAATAGAAGTTATGCATTTAGGAATTAATAGTAAGATTTTTGTTCTGAAAATCTGCAAGTTGCTGTTTTACTTTAGAAAGGTTTTACAAAGTGAAACTGCCATTTGCCAATGAGAAATCTACCAAAATCATTAATTGACAAAGTATTAAATGTTCTGATAATATCATTTGAAAATGATTAACAAGAAATGGCTTGTTAACAGTGTTCCATTTGAAAATAAAATTATATATGTATGTAGACATAGCTGTATTAATTATGACCGACAATATGAAACTGTTCTTGTCACACTTTTTGATGGAAAATGGATGTTAAAGATCTTCTCAGTGACTGCATGCTGTTGTGAAAGTGAAGTATCAGTCAAAACAATACTATCATTTCTTAATGGTTATGTGAGTGCCTGATGGAATAAGGTTGGCTTGATAAATAAGTTTTCTGAATGTGACCAAATAGCATTAATGCTTATAGATATATAGATCTGCTTGATTTAGTAAATTAAAAACAGAAACAAATAACATTAAATTTGGTGAATAGAAAAGGTATTTTGAATGATCTTACTAAAATTTATTTAATCTGTAATTGATTTTCTCTGAAATATGAATACCTTTTCTCATAGATGTATCTAATTTTTGAAAATTTTGCGAAATTATGCAATTTTTAACTTGCCAAAAAGGGACTGTAATGACTACAAAACTTATAAATTTGTTTTATTAAATGAAATCATTAGTCAATCCCTCAAACAAACACTTATTGTAAACAATTTAAACAATTAAGAAAAAATGAAACAAATAAAAATACATATATTGGAACTGATAAAAAAGACGTTCTAGACAATTTGAATGCTCCTCCTGTATTTCCACTTTTAATGGTGATTTGCAGTCTGAATTTGTTTCTAAGCCTCTGCTATTGCCAATATATTTGGAACACTCAATCCTATCTAAAAACAAATGTTGCAATATCATCCAAGAAAAAATATCAAAAACAATTTTGGTACTTATAACTGAAGGTCATTTGAAGTAGTTTGTCTTCACAAATGCTAGAGTTACTTGATCCATTTTTTTTTTAAGTAAATGTAACAATTTCATTTTAATCTCTGAAATAGGACATAGTCTCTAGAATTAGTAAGCAATTTTTTTAAGAAAATGCATAAAAACCAGAATTTTGGAGAAAGTGATTCAAGCATGACAGTTTAGTAACACTTTATACACTTTTAAAATGTCTCATTAAAGAAAATATAAGAAAAAGATTTAAATTGTGTAATATCCATCAATGAAACAAGTCTGATTTAAAAATGGAGTTCAATTGGCAATGTTTATTGCCTTGGTCAGCAATACAAATTTCAATATGTCTGTCCCAAAAGTTTTGCATGAAATGAATGCACTATAACCTCTATTTGATTTGCATGTAGCTCGAGTTGTATGGGTGCAGAGATATGAAAAAACTGATTGTTAAAGATGAGACATTGCTCTACAAGAAGGTGTGATTTTCATTTTTGAAGTGTTCAATTTCTATGGTATTTTACCCACTAAATTTTTCAACTTAATTTTTTGTGAAGTATAATTTATACTTTATCTTAAGCCTGCTAAATTGATGAATGTCCTTTTTCTTTAAGATGGGATCATTTTGATATGTGCAGAGATACACAACTCAAAGCACAGTAAGTTTTAAAAACACCACTAGTAAAAATATGGGAAAAGTACCAACCATCATTGAAATAATGACAATTTAGAGAGAAGTGGAATAAAAATTAATCATCACACATGAGAAAGAATTGTATCTTTATAAAGAGAAGCTATTACATTTTGTTTACATATTAATTTTATCAAATAACCAGTAAACGAGATATTAGCAGTTGAAATGGAAAGAAATTTCACTATTTTGATATGTTTTTATTATAAATTAGAGCAGTTTGGGATACTTACTAACAATCAAGTGTTATCAGAAAGAGAATGATAAACAAAAAGAAAGTATGGTAAATGAAGATGAAGTGAAAAAATAAAAACAAAGAAAATATCCAACTGTGAGAGAGACATTAATGCAGATAGCAATATCATGGACACAGAGTCAAGCCCCATTCACATGTTTTTCCTCTCCTGAAAAATTGCTGCAAAAAGGTACACTAGTGACAAGTAATGAACCAAAAGATACTAATCTCTGAATAAACAATTTCTAATGAGACAGGAAGACATCATCAGGTCATTATACAGAGGAGGATTCACTTATTATCACCCACTACTACTACTACTACTATCAATTTCTGCTGAAAATCAAAATTTTTTTTAAAAAATTAGGTGCGGAAAAAAGACAATAAGTATGCTGTGTAAATCTGTATTGACTCAAAAGATTGAACACTTCAGAGATCTGACACCTCTGCAGAGTGTCTGACACCTCTTTTCATATAGACAAAATTGCAACTTGTATTTTTAAGAATGGTGATCACAAAAATCTTTTGTGGTATTTTAAATTTATTTACCTTATATTTAATTGAAACAATATATATTCAGAGCTGATTGCAATTTAAAATATCAATCCAAGAAAATTCAGCATGCTTAATGAGGCTTATTTGGTCTTTAACAATTCCAATGGTTCAGAGGCAGACCTATATACATTCAGCCATCAGCATTTAACCTTTCCCTGGCTTGAGCACAGATGAGAGAATAAAGACTAAAGTAGGTCATGATTCCCTACAGGAAGACATCAATGTCCTAACCTCATACAGTGTTTTTTCCCTGTTTGCAATGATAATAATTAGAGATGTTTTTTTTTTCTGATTTATTGAGTTTGAATGTGTCAAGCCTGACATCTGAGTTGAAAAGGCCAGATATATTTGCGATCTTCAGTACATCAATGTAAATGTTTGCTTTGTGAATCAAATGCATCATTTGTCATGTCTATGACCAGATGCTGTTTAAGGCTTCCATTTTTAAATATACACATGAATTTTTATATAATTATAGAGACAGATACAGGGGAAAATATGTATATACACACTGTTAAATGTACATAAAAAGGAAAAATCAAAAAAATATAAGCAGTAAATTGCTGATACCCACTGAAAAATGGATGAACAGGTCCACTTATGAAACTCTGGAGTCAGGATGATGAAGGTAACATCAATCAGCTAAGTGACAAACTTTTACTCACATTAATCCTATGTGTGTGTGTGTGTGATATGTCTCGGAAAGGGATATATTTGTTTGAAGTAGCAAAGTGGTTCTTGACTACTGTAACCAGGTAGGACAATCTAGCAGGTAACCATAATGAACTGGTCCTCGTCGTAGTGGTAGGCAATAGGCGAAGACAATAGGCATAGCCAATAGGCGTCCTCTCTGTACCTCCACATCAGTCTGTATTTATGGCTGACACCAGCCAATCATATTACTGTGAGGAGGAACCCAGGTGTATGCATATTCATTACATCAGTGTCTCTCATTCCAATTCAAATGTTTCTATTTTTTTAAAATTCAGTGTTGAAACAAGTCACTCATCTTGAAATGATTATTATAATTTTCTTTCAAAGTAGTGATTCAGGTGAAACAGTCATGCAAGAGAAATTTTGTTTTGAAGCCATCTACACATGACCATTAACAGATCAAGATATTACAATGACAAATATTATTAATGTAATAAGAAAATATCTTTATAATATTTACTTAACATCCACACAATTATTTAAAAATGAATCTTGATTTACCCGATTAAACATAAATTATAAAATATATTTAAGCTATCTTTTAGTACTTACCAAGGATTGGTCAGTTCCAGAACATCGACCAGGGCTGAGAGTTGGTGCTTAAATGTGTCAGCCACAGTAGGTTTACTTCTGGCTGTACGCGATATTGTTTGTCGACCACCAAGATCTTCCAAACGCACTCCAAGCAGATTCTAAAATATTGGGTAAAAAGAAACAGGTCACATTTAGCAACATTCCAGTAATAATCTTTGCTTAACTCTACTCAGTCAGTCAGTTATGTTCCATGCATGATACACGCTTAGGCAATCATGTTTCTTTCAATGCATGACTGACAAGACAGATTTTTTTCCTGCAGTAGGTTGCCATTTCTTTCTGTGATAGACCAGTTGCCATCCAAGGCTGTAGAACCCAGTCTGTCCTGCTATTTTACCCATAGCTGGAGGGAGAGGAAGAGGATTCATACCTTTCCCAAACAAATTTTAATTTAGTGAATGTAATGGATTCAACTGAAATTTGAATTCGGCTCTCCGATTCCTCAATCTGAGCCGCTATCCATTACTCCACCATGCCTCATAACTCTACTTAAGTAGTATTTTAAACAATATATTAGCTAAATCTTTTATTGCAATAAAAAACTTAAATTTTTTTTAACAACTCACTTTATCTAACTGAAACTTACAAGGGTGGGTTGTAAAGTTCATAGGAGGGATGCTAAAACTGAAATCTTGCATTCATTAATTTGCACTGTTTATCTCCAGGTATCTGATTGTTCAAAGAAGTCTTCAATAGTTTACTAGTAACAACCTCTCTTGAAAATGGACAAAAATTTGACATTGTGGTGTTATCAAGTACCTACTAAAAAAAGGGTTTAAGCCTCAAGGACATTCATGCTGACATGGTTGCTACATTAGGGTATGACACTCCAATTTTAACAGTGGGCAGCTGAATTTAGAAGATGGCAGAGTCTTGAAGATGACCAAAGATCTGGATGTTCTGCAACAGCTACCACCAAGAAAATTGATTGTGTCCACCACATGGTGATGAATGACAGGCAATTGACTATAAATCAAATAGCCAGTGCTATTAGCATATCCCATGAGTTAAGAATATTCTGCACAATGAACATGACAAGACAAAGGTTTCTGCTCAGTTTCTTTGAATGTTTTCTAACCCGGTATGAGTATCAGGTTCATCACTTTGAGCTAGAGACAAAGAGATAATTTATGCAGTGGAAATGCTCCTCCACACCTGCTCCAAAAGCCAAAGTCATGTCTTCTGCATAATGCATTTATTGACTTTTGGATTGTATTTATTGACTAAAAATCAAAAGGTTCACACCATCAATGGAGAGTAGTATGACAACTTACTGATATTGTTATGAAAGGGTATCAAAACCAACCACCCTGGAAACTTGACAAAAGGTGTCTTGTTTCATCAGGACAATGCTCCAACATACAAGTCCTTGGTTTCAATAGTTGTTGTGTATGACTTTGGCTTTAAACTGGTTGATCACCCTCCCTATTATCCTGACTTGGCTCCGTCTAACTATTATCTGTTCCCCAACATGAAAAAACACTTGGCTGGGAACCAGTATCCCAATGATGATGATGTCATATCTGCTGTTAATGAATTTTTTTGACCAACAGGATGAAAGCGTCTTCACCAATGGGATTCAAATTCTGCAACAGCGATGGAAGAATTATGTGGACCACAAGGGAGACTGCTAGGGCTGCTGAGACACTGCTCCATAGATCTGTTTGAAATGCTATGAATGCTGCCACCACTGCCAGCTCGAGGGCAGCTGAAACATTTGACCGCAGATGCGCACATCAATCCAGGGACGCTGCTGCAACAGCTAGGTCGAGGGAGTCTGAGACAGAGCTGTAGCGGGCAACCTGCAATGCCCGCAACTGCTGCTAGAAACTCCGTGGGCCCACAGACAAGGGCAAACAGACTTTCAAGGGCTGATACAAACATGGCCGCTGTGCACTTATTTCAAACTCCCCAAGTTTTCAGCACCTTGCGGCCGCCTGTAGTATTACCTGTCCCAGTAGCTCTTTTTAATCTTTCTTGGCTTTCAATTACAACCATGGCATTAACTTAACTATGCATGATGACATCAATGTAGGGTCCATATCCTGCATTTGCCTATTCTGCAATGCCTGCAAATGGGCCAGAGAGCCTGCCAGTCTGTGCTGCTCCTCTGGCAAAGTTCGACTGCCACCTCTGCATGAACCATCTACCCCATTGAGGGGACTAATCCTCCCATCCCAGCTCCAACCACTTCCTTAAAACAATTAGGCAATACATTTGGTGCTCAGGTGGTTTGAGCAGAGGGTTGGATGCCTACTTTCAAAGTACAGGGGCAGGTATACCACCGCATTAGGTCTCTGCTGCCTGAGGAGACCTCTACGCCTAAATATATTCAACTGTACTATTTATTGCAGACTACAACCTACAGACTGAAAAAAATTGATGTTTTCGCCATAAGAAATTATAGGAAGAGCAGCCTCGCAGGGATATCATACTACTACTTCAGGCCATGATTCATGAGGTTATTAGCTACATTTGCAGTTTCAAATATGCTTTGGAAAATGCTCCCTTTCCTTCCTTCAGCATTGTAATTGACATCCACAAACGGCCTCATGATGAACAATAAATATTAAATAAAATCCTATAGCATTAAAAAAGTGGCTGCTAAATAAATACATAAAAAGAAAGACCTAAAACTTGAGATATTAATTCTCAAACAAAATGCGGCACTCTAAAGTAATTTCAGAGACCCATCGATCATACATGTACATTGCAGTACCCTTTACTTTTCCCAAATGGTGAACAATGGCTACCACTTGGCATTCCACTTCAAACTCAAGGCCAACATGCAATGTCTTCCAAAGCCTTATAAATAAAAATGCAAGCCTTCTACTCATACCGGTTCATGGTTAGGGGATGGAGACTTCAACCTGCAGGGATATTTCACCAGTTTACGGTTGACATATATATAAGATGGAATCGGAGAGGCTTTGTTTTTATACAGAATCATCAGAAACAGCTGCGCTCAGACTCCTATGCACACTTATATGATAGCCTTCGAAATGAAGTCAATCCCCGAGACCTAGGGAAGCTGTGCATTCTGCCTTCTACCTACACTGGGGGCCCACATTACATGCATGAACGCACACAGGATGCTATGACATAGGTTAGGCCATATGGGCTGCCAGACTTATTTATACCGTTTAACTGCAACCCCAAATGAGTTGAGATAACACGTGAACTCCTACCCAGACAGGATTACACTCACAGACATGACATTACCGCCCACGTATTCCACTTAAACTGGGAAAACTTATGGACTTAATAGTGAAGTGGCGAATCCTACAGTGAAAACGCAACCACTATTTTACATTGCCAGAATTAAAAATCTTGATCGATTATGAATGGATGGCAGTCTTTGGGTAAGCACGGAGCAGCAACACAGCAGTCACCTATTGCAATTGGTTGCCCTTGATCTCATTGATTTTGCTACCAGTGAGATTCCCGGCCTGTCAGTGACCTCAACAACTGCGGACACATGCATAAGTTCAATAATTCAAACCCCAAAGCAATTTAACTATATAAAACCCCGAGCAATGCCAGGCTTTACTGCTAGTACCTATATAAAACCCTTCAGTTAACAGTTGCATTCCATTGAGTATGATCTATACATTTTATTATTTTATATGATATATATGTTAAAAGTTTTGCCAACCTTCTTAATCTTGTCATTGTAATAGTTATACTTAGTTCTTTTCATTTTTAAAAGTCACATGATGTAAGAACATGTCAGAACAAATTTCCCCTTAATTTGCAGATGTTCCAATATGAACGTACAACAATGATAAACAGATCTAAAAGGCTTTGAACTTACATCCATTCACTTCAAAGACACATACAGCTTGTAGATACATACTAAATGTAGGTTTGAACAATCTTACCCTTGAAGTACTTGATATAATGATTATTTAAAAAGCTTCTAATTTAACAATTTCACACACTGATTTGAACTTAGTCTTTGAAAAAACATTTGTTTTTATATACAAGATGAAGTTATCTACATGTTAGGAATTAAACATTTCATAGCCTGTATATACTATAACTTATACAAAGACTCCATGAGTTATATAAGTGTGTGATTTTTAAAGCATTCAAAAAGTAAAAATTGTTTTTATAATCAAAGAATAGTCAGTTAAAGTATAATTAATATTATTGTTAATATTTAAAATGTTCAAATCATAATTCCATAATAACATCCAATTATACTTATCAAATACTGATTACTAGAAACATGATTTATAGTTAATTTTGGGGACAAGAATATATATATATCTACAATGTTATTTCATAGTACAAAGGGGTGCTGAAAATTTATTGGCTTGACCAAGAAGTTCTCCTCCCAAAAATCTTATATTTGGCCATTTGGTCAGATTTTAAGTGGACTGAGCAAGGAACTTTTCAGAACCTCTAATCTAAGTACCTCCATGAGATCGCTAAAAAGAGCATAGCATGAATAAAAAGGGCCTTTTTTATTGTCTAAATGTTTATGTTATTATTAAGAGGCAAAATCAAAGTATTTTGGGGGTATTTTTTACATTTTTTAATCGTTCCTAGCATATCCAAAATTTTTGTTAAAAATCTTGATTTTTTTTTTGAGTTAGCAAAATTGACAGAAAATTGATCATGTCAACCATCTTTTCCATTTTGCAAAGAAAATGAAATTCTTCATTTAAAATTCTTTTAAAATTAATTATAATTTTTTCAAAATTTATTTTTAAAAAATTAGAAATTATAAGGTTTATTTAAAGTATTTTGAAACAAACATTACCTACTTTCTGTGCTGAAAAAATGTAGTTTAAAAATAAGGCAAAACAGGTCTTAACATTTGGTATCAATTGAGAAGTGATGATTTCATTATATATTGACAGCTTACATGAGGGAAAGTTGTCATATGGAAGGACAGAAGTGACATAATTATCTAGTTTTAAGTGAACCAACTTATTTTTAAGGTAAACTTTCAGTGCTCTAATTTTTTTTTTTACTTAGCTTTCACCTTTACATTTACAATACTTTATGGTAAATATGTTAAAAAAAATTAAAATAAGACTGTTGAGAGTGAGGTAAAATTTCATAAGAACAGTATCTAATAAATTTATTG